GGTATCAATGTAAGCACGGGCACTAAAAATGTACAGCTGCATTCTTACGTCTCTCTGGAAAATGGACCTGTATGAAAACAATATATGTATGTAAAACACATAAATAAATACATATAAACAGTATATAATCAAGAAACATGAAGAACATGAGAAGTAACCTGACCTAACCCTGAAATTATATATTCCCTGAGCAGGACATTACACCAGGCAATTTCCAAAGTTCCCTTCAACCTTAACTGTTCTCTGTTTTTAAGGTGTGGGTTTGTGGTTTTGGTTTTTTTTTTTATAATCTACAAGAAAATATCTTGCCTTGTGAAGAACCTTGTAGTTCCCCAGTAGAGATCAGTTTTGAGAACCAGTAGCTGAGGGAAGCTGGTGCGTCAGGGTCCCATGAGATCCTACAGTTGTGGGGCTGATGGTAGCAATGATTTTCCCAACCAACCAAAGCTTGAATACAAACAGCCTGCTCTCCTCTGCCCTACTACAGATTTCTTAGATATAATGTTTTACATAATTATTAACTTTTGCAATCACTGTAGAACAAAATAGTCTGAAAGTATAGAAATAAAAAATAGTTAAATTGCAGACATGAGGTTTCTTGAGAAATAGAATACAAATGAGACATGCCTAAAAGTTCATATGCAGAGTATTGGGGTTACAAAACAGTTTACAGACATGTGCAAGAAGAAAGAGTGTTTTTCTGGAAAATCTTGAAAAAAGCACAAGAAATCAGAATATGGACAGAAATTATAATGGCTATGGCACTTATAGAGAATTACAAAAATTAAAGATTATAAATGGAAAAAACTGAAAACAGATCTCCAAAAAATACCCTTCGGTTATTTGAGTTTCAAATAATTATTCAGTTACCAGTTTATTATAAAGTGCTAAAAATTATGGAGACTGTACACCAGGGTTTTCAAAGAAGTGGGAACAAGAGCTAAATAATACATTGAAGATCATTTGTACCACAAACAGCCACACAATTCTATTCATGCCGAGATAAATGAGTGAAGTGCCAGGTTTCCATTAAATATTTGGTCTGTAACTTTATCTGAACTCTGTATTGATCTCTTTCCCCCTTCCCTGTGATAAGCAACACTCCAGGTGGACACAGAAGGACTGTCAGAAGTAGCATGCAAAGAACAGGCACATCTTTTGCTAGAGGCCTCTGTTAGGAGACCAAAAGCAGCTCAGAAACACTGAAGAGAGCCAGCAGCAGCTAATCCTGACCCTCTGCTGAAGTCACATTAACTACTTCTGGGTTTGCAAGACAGAGGATGAGAAAGCACCAAGACAGGTAGCCTGGGGACAGGCTTCAGGTTATTAAGACAGCTACGGGGTTAGCCAGGAGGGATACAAACTTCGGTGCATTTTCCTGAGGGGAAGGGGGAAAATGGGAGTTAAGACCAACCAAGTAGTGTGCCTGGTAGCATCAGTTATACGATGGCAGCCTTCAGCTAGCCAGAGGCGTCCATGAAAACTGCACAGAATCAGTTCTGAAATCCAACAGCAATGTCCATTTGTTGTAGAAATTAATTCCCCAAAGAAGAGAGCAAAGGAAAAAAATCAAACATAGCAAATTTTTCTGACATTACAAAATGAAGTGCAAGTCTATAACCTTCTCAATATGCTATCTCTGTTAAAGTAAGAACTTCATTTCTGATGACAGCCAAATCCCCAAATATTAGTACCATGAAGCATTATTAGATATTGAACCACTGAAGAAATACTGTAGCAGAATAAATAGCAATGCTGTTCTATTTCTTTGAACTTGATTTTTGAAACAAAGCATGAGTCTTTCTGTAAGCTACACAGGTGTGACAGAGAAGCAGTATGACTGAATAATGGAATAAAATGTTTTTCTATCAAATACATTAAATCAGTTAATGCAGATGAATAGGTACTGCTTGCTTGCTTCCCAGTAGCATTGGCTTGCAAATTATTCACATGAGGATGTTAAATTCTCTTTTTGGTATAGATCCAGCAAAACTACTGCCAGATCACACCTCCTGGGAAATGTGGGACTTGGCATAGAATTTGGCACAAGACTTTACAAATGTCAGCTTTCCTGTAAAAACATCAGGTCTGTTGTCATGAAAACATTAGTTATGAGTTATTTCTTTTCTTAATATTACTAGACAATAAAAATAGAGAGAGAGGATGAGATGTCAGTCATGTGCAGGCATGTATTCAGAATTGGAATTTTGTAATCAAATTCCCCAGAATAGAAATATGAATTTTGGATTTTGAAATGCATGTCCACATCTTGGATCAGCATATGTTGTATTTAAAAGTATCTCTGCTCTGTACATCAGAATGCCTGTCCTTATGAAATAACTGACAATTAGCAAACAGCATGAGCTAGGTACTCATGTGTAACCCAGAGCTGCTGGGGTACTGCACCACTTACAGAATTTCTTTACAGAAATTTGTATCAAAGCTATGGGGTATTTTAATTAATGTTTCCCAAGAATACAAATCACTAGAAAAAAGTATGAATTTTATCAAGATAATCATGGCAATAAATTCAGTAGTCTCTGATGTTGTTTTACCAGCCTGGCATGCAATGAGTTGCATTATAGTTTTACTGAACCAATACAGCTAAGCTCCTGGCATTATCAAAACTTTAAATGGTTAATTAGTAATTCATTTTAATATAGTACCTAATCTGTGGGAAAGCAGGGAATACCTGCTCCAGGAAAATGCAAGCCATTTTTGGAAGATGGCTATTAAGTTTGATGAGCCAGAACAAACTTTTGGGCTGAATGGACTTCTTATTTCACACTTCACTTCAACAGATCTTCGTCACTTCTGTATCTATCAACCTGCCAAGACATAAACATTCAGCCCTCTGAGTCACACACCATATTAGCACTGGGATCTCCTCTTGACATTGACAGCAATTACACCTGCACCTTAAAAAACCTCTGCTAAAGATCACAAAATTTTGAAACAAAATTTATTTGACCGTATGCTTTTATGTCTAGCCTTTGTGTAGAACAGTTATTCAGGAAGAAGGACACAGAACAAACCTCAAAAGTAAAAGCTTCAGTATGGGACCAGTGTCAAAGTAGGTCAATTTTTAGGACTAACAGCCTTGACAGTGTCCCTTTAATATGTTGATCTGTTTCTGTAAAGCACATTAAGAAAAGTTTAGCGTGAAAGAGGCTACAAATGTGTTTGATATGATATGGCAATAAGTGTACATTTTGAGCATACTAAATCTACCCAAGTACATTTTAAACTGCTTTTCTTTACTAGCTAAGGGTCCAGTTCATTGAAAAATAAAATCCAGGCTTCTGTATACTAGAAGCTGCAGAAAATCTGTTTTTCTGTAACATCTATAGCCCATTGTATATATTTACAAGGTTGAATCTACATCTTTCTTTGAGAGATTATGGATATTTTTTGTGCCTTTGAACCTCTGAGAAACCTTGAGACTGGGAAGTTGTCCATAAAGAGCCAGGCAAAATCATTTGCCTTGAGACTTTAAAAGTTCTGAGTACTTTCTTTTCAAGAACACTTCTGAATTGCCTAATTTGCTGATTTATGTTACTTCTGATTTTATTGCTATGTCCCTTTTACACATGTGAATCTACTTGATGAAAATTTTATGCTGTAAGACATATATATATATATATATATACACATATCATATTTACAGGAATTGATAAGGAAAACACACGTGATAAAGATGAGTGAAAACTTATATCCAGAGAGAATTCACTAGTTATTCTTGTCTGTTTTGATTAAAAGATATCAATTCAGTGGCTAATGCATGTAGAAAAGGTATTGTACAGATAGTTCAGGAGGCCATTCTCTGTATAAAAGGGTAAAGTTTAAAAGTCTCAATCTTTATAATGAACTTAGTAAGGAAAATCTCTTAATGTTTGGCTTCATTACAGAAGCAATTGCTGATGTTTTATGTTTACATCATTCTGACTTCATTGTTCTCACTGTTGCCCACTATGAAAATAAGCTGGAACTATATTCAGTAGTTTTGCTTTATTGCTTTGCTTTCAAATACATTACTCTGTACTTTCAACCACTTTTCTATCATTTGCAGTAAAGGATACCATCACCACAAGCTGTGTCTCAGCATCTTTTATTACATTGCTTGATGCACTTGAAAAAGCAGACTGGTTTTCAAGCACACAAACCCTTCTTCAGGCCTGCAAATGAAAACAGCCAAACTTTAACAAACATACCAGTTATACACACGTACAAGCCTGTAACGAGCACAAAGAAATAAATGTATTGAATAGCACTGTGTTCTAGCCATTTTCTAGGAAGATATCTGGAGTTGCTTCCAAATTATTTTTAGAAGAGTAAACACTTAAGGAAAAGCATTAAAACATATAGCAAAGTAATCTACTCTTAGAAGAGGCTTTACAAACTGAAATTCCATCACTAATCAACTACTAAGGCTAAATAAAATGAAGACTGACATTCTACAAAATATCAAAGAATGAAAAGACATAAAATATACATTAATACAAAAATATATTTTCAAGGAATATATGCACAACTATTAATTAATGGCAAATGAGGATCATATAATTTTCTTGTGCAGAGTCACAACTGTAAAGTGTAAAACATGACTCATTGTGCAACATCAATATAAAAAAAGTCAGATCAACAGGTGGCACTTGTTATTTCCAAGCAAATGAACTCCAAAGACTTCATCTTCAAGCATAATTTCCTTATACCAGCTTTGATTTATGGTAACATAGTGTTCCCTTTGAAATGGGGAGGGGGGGGAAAGAGAGATTTTCCCATTTCATAGTTTTATGATAGCATTTCATCTCTTTGTATTCATTTTCAACACAACTGGGTGGGAAGCAGACAACAATATTTTAGCTCTCAAGAACAAATGTTTAAGTTAATTTTTTTCTCCTAAAATTATAACTATTAGAACCATATCCCTGCACTGTTTTTATTTTTCCCTGAAATATGCCTCCTACATTTGGCAATACATTTACATTGCTCTCCTGATGGAATCTGAAAAAAAAAATCATATTTTTAAAGAATTTTTTTTAAAGCTAGTTCTTATACTAACTTCCCAACCAATCTACACACTGAGCAAAGCCCTGAAATTCTTATCTGCAGAAAAAATGGTGGCTGGGCTAGTTGTCACAAATTCTCATTTTACACAACATTTTACAGTTTCTCATTTACCTCTCCTTCTTTTCCATATTCTTTTCTCTTGGAAAAGTAAATTTTTCCTAGCCTTTTTTCCTTTATATATTTTTCTTGGTTTTCCACATTTGTTTCAGATGGCACACCCTCTATTTCATTGCTCCTTTCTGCAAATACAATGTATATAAAGAAACATTTGGTTTAGAATGGTCAACTGGGAATATAAATTATTAAAGAGAGTTATTTCTCTAGAATTTCTTCAGCAACATCTTAATTAGCAACAAAGGTGAAGAATGCATAAGTCAAGATTTTGTGCTGCAGGACATCTGAAAAAAGCTGCCTGAACACCTGATACTTTTTTCATATCAGACACCAGAGTACAAAAATATTATCAGAACAAAATTCTTCACTACTCTGATTCAATGCACATAAGCAGAAAAACATGTGACTCATCCTTGAAACAAAAATTCCTCTGCATTGAAACAAAAATCTTTCTGCAATGAATAGATAAGACATGATAAGAACATGATAAGTTTGGAGTCTTTTTGTTAAATGTTGCCTAGATGCATCTCACAAAACAAAACAAAACAAAACAAAAATGCTCTGAATCAAGATTATGAAGTAGTGGTCTCAGCCACTACTGGCATGTAAGAGTGAGTCCTGAAGCTGAAGGTTTAGTGAAAGAAATTACAAAGCTAAAGCAACAGTCTGCTGCATATACCTCTTCCCTACAGCTTTCCTAAAGTGTGGCCAAACCAAAATCATCCATCAGCCCTGCCTACCCAGAGGGCCTAGCTGTGCACATGGCTGTGTCCAAGGACTGGCAAACTGCAGTCACAACAGGCTCAGAGGAGTGGAAGGCAGTTTGGCTGGATGCTATGCCACAACAACACACCTGCCAAAGCTGAAACACAGCCGCTGTTCCTGCAATGCTGACAGGCAGCGCTGACAGCCTTTGAGCAACCGGGAGGAAGGAGCCATAGCCAAGTGTTGTTTCATTAGCAATGCCAAGGAGGTATCTGAAGTACCTCTACTTTTTTGTGCAGGCATAGTAAAAGGGTTACAGAGATGCAAATTGCTGAGGTAATCAGGGAGGCCTCTCAGTTCAATATAAGGGTCGCCTTGCTCTAGGGACCACACATCTCATCCCCTTACACAGGAAATTCCATGTTCACAGTTTGAAGATTTAGTGTAAAACCAACAAGTCTTGTTGGACAAACTCTCTGTGCTGAAATAATGTGAATTGGTGTAAACCCAGCTTTGTACCTTTGACAGCAAGCAGCCACAAATGAGAATCGCTAATTGCATCTAGCCAAATACTGCCAATTAAAAGACAATCACCAGAACTTTAAAAGAGCCTTTTTCTTCTGTTTCTGTACACCATCTTTTAAGTATTAACTTCACCATTCACTTAGTATGAAGGTAACCCATTCAGACAATTTACAGTAAATAGGGAGTAGCAGATTAGAGCAGACTGGAGAGACTGTGTACACTATGTACACAACTCTACCTGCTACCCCAGTCCCATACGAAATATAGGAAATAAATGTGTTTCTTATATAATATTGCAAGTTCTCCACTAAAAGCATATCACTGAGCCTAGGCAAAAAAGACAAACAATCCATTCTTAAGGGCACAGCATTGCAGTTTCAAGTGCAGAAAGAACAGCATAATGAGAAAAGCAAGTTTCTAAAAGGTAGCGCTATCTCAGAACACAATATTTAATATTTGTGCACACAGAAGTATCAATAGGAGAAAAGAAGAGGGTGGTCATGTAATAATCTTCAACAAAATAAGAAACGAAATCACAGTGAAGGAGCAGCAAAGGAGTGGAATATTCAAGACTAAGAATGAAAGAAATCTCCACTGAAAGAAATCTTTACCAAATGTATATGAAGGAAGACAAAATATTTAGGATTAGACAAGATAAGAGATCAAAAGGCTGAAATTATGTTTGGTTAACTGGGTTTATGAAAGGGCATATTAAGAAGTGAGCTGCACAAACAAATTAAGTTTATGTAGTTTTGACATATCCAACAAATAGTGAAATAGTTGTGGTAGTGAAAACCACAACTACAATCAGCTCCAGCAAGGGCGTGGTTCAGGAGATGAGAAAGATGATACAGATCGCTCGACAAAAAGGGATTGGAAAAAGCAAAGCCTTGAAGTATTGTAGCTTTTGATAATTCAGATTTCAGCCTTGTCATGGTACACTACAATCAAAATGCAGGTAACAACATGACACAGAAACAGAAAGCAACCTTGAAGTTATTTTCATGTAAGACAGGGAGTTGCCATGTAAATTGCTGAGAACTATTTGGCCTCCAGAGCTTACCTGGCCTCCTTCCACTCCAGGAGTGAACAAGACAAATCAGGCTCCCACCAGGTGTCTGGAAGTACCTGCTGGAAACAAGGCTGCAAATATATGTAATTTCTTGTTTTCACAACACTCTTACTACTTGAACTCCTCTCCACCCCACCTTGGCATTCCACATTGACCCACTCAGCAGGTGATGCTCGACTTATCCAAAAAAAAGGGCTTTTTTTTTTTCTAGAATAAAACCCCTTCAGCTTATCTCTTTAGTTACTGGTCAAGAGTATTGCTGAAGAGACTCCAGTGTGTGCTAAATTCTACACTTGCTCCCACTACTTCATGCACTATGGGTTTAAGAATACGACTGTATTGGCCTGTAATAGTATAAAATATTATAGTTAAAGTTTACATATGTTTCCAAGTGCAGATTAATTCAGTAGATGGCAATTCCTATTTTTAGTGATCTCAGATGAAATTATTCTAGCTGTTAAGTGATCTTTTTGCATGATTTTAGAACAAATTCTTTCAATTTATTTTTACACACATATTTAGGAGCACATTAATTTAGCTGCTCTGAGGTCCAAAGTGCTAATTTTGAGTTTTATTCTTTAATTGAACTTTTAAAAAATGTACAATTGCTTAGCTTCCAGACAAAACCAATTTAAGAATTATTTTAATGCATAATATATACCATTCAGATAAAATATTATAATTTGATTAACAAAAGGAGAACTAAATTAATTTAAAAAATATGTTAAAATAATGCTGCCATTTATATAGGTGATTTAGTATAAAATATGCTGGAATAATTTCATAGTTTTAATTGCATGTGCTTCAATTTTCTTCTATTTTGTTTATTTTGTAGGTACAATCAAGGCTTATGAAAGTTAGCACTGAACAAAAAGTCTGTCTTTACAATATTTTTATAGACTAACAGTAATTTAAAGACTGCAATTAGCTAAGTTTATGGTCTTGCTTTAATCTATTCTTTTAATTGCAATAAGCACAATCTCAGTCTGAACTATAAGACCTAAACTAAGACTTTAAAAAAGATGCAGATAGTAAGGACAGAAGATTAGAGGGTAAAACCAAAGATTTTCATCATTCTTCTCACCAAAATCTAATTATTGAAATGGTTTGGGGTTTTATCTGGGCCATATTTCTTCTCCAGATGTGAATTCTTCTATTTCAAAGATACTTTTTCAATTTGAGTTGTAGCAAAACAAAAGCAGTTGAGTTTTCTCCTTTCTGGTATTTTTACTATTTTTATTTCAAGGAAGTGATTCAAGTGGTCTAACTTTTCACCTGAGCCTAAATCAAGATTCTCTCAAAAATTCAATGTATTCTCAGTCTGATTTTTGCTTATAAGAGGCACAAAAGGCCAAGCTTGGTTGGACAAAAATTAGAACAACAAAGCACAAATTAAAACAAAAAAAGCAGGGCTACAAAGTTATCATATATGCATGAGGTATAGCACCTGTAACCAACTAATATTTATGATAATTTGAGTAGTTTAACAGCTTATCGTCTGTTTTGCTTTTTTTTTTTTTTTTTTTTTTTTTTTGCTGTTGAATGCAACAACATATAATTGGCCAGAATTGTGTCTGGACCAGTTTTATGATGCCTTTAATTTTTCATCCATCTTTTTTTTTTATGTTTGGTATATAATAAAAATTTTGGCTGTGTATCCCACAGTTCAACATAACAATATTTCAGGATTGGTACAGAAAACACTTATAAGCTGAGATCATGGAGATGTCTGCAACACTGCTGTCTGTGTTATCACACAGCCATTAATTATTAAAAATGCCCTGAAAACTGTAACCCTACTTTGAGCTTCTGGATATTTTATTAATAATTTCAGTAGAAATTAGACAATTATCTTTATTACTTTAATATCAGAATTTGCAACTGATATTTTCCAATAAAAGCGCATACTTTAGCTTTGGAGAAACAAGGCTAGAGGCAGGGAAGAAGGGAGATACAATGATAGGCATTTACTGCATTCATTCCATAAGACAAGACAGTAAATTTCTTATAGGAAAGGCAGCACTTTATATGAAAATTTAAAAGACACAAATAAGTAAAACCGAGAATCAAGAAAACTGTTTCTTTTTGCTTTGAACACAATACATGAGTTATCTATCAGCAGTATGAAATATCTGATGTTTTAAGATCTGTGTTTTATTCTATATTTATGTTATGAGATTTCAACTTTCCACTTGGAAATTATCTACACTTTTCAAAATGAAATACAACTAAAAATAATTTTGTTTCACAATAGCCTCTGGGGGTTAAAATTAATCCTGGAATTGCAGAAACAGAGGGAAACAGGTATGGAAGAACTATTAAATGACAGCGATACAGTTTCACTGCTCAAGAGAACTGCAAGAAATCACACTAAAAGTTCTAGAGGAGAGTTGTAGGGTTTTTTTTCTCCTCTGATATGTTTGATTCTTAAACAATTGTTTTGATTATTTCTTCTTTCTCAGATTTCCTACAATTGTTTGCTACATGACCAAGACCACTAAATAGCATATTATTTTTTCATCAGCCATATGGTCACCTCAGAGATTTAGGAATGTAGTTTAGGCCCCATGTGTGCCAGTAAGAGTTTAGTGGCAATGTCAAGAACTCCACTCTGAACAGAAGTGGACACGTAGCAGAGGAAATCTAAATCTGAGGTGACGCGGTGCCACAGACAGTTTGTGTATGGATTCCATCTCAGATGCTCAAATTCTGCCCTGGGTTATATATAAGGTCTAACATATCATGGAAAAATGGAAATTCACAACTTGGTTGATGTAAGAAAAGGAGGGAACTTCTAAATCATATTAAAATTTACACCAATGTAAAATGGTGAGCAGAAAAAAAAAAAAAAGCCTTTCCCATAGGTAAGCTTCCATGTCTTGGTATAAAGGAGTTAATAATATAACACTACCTGTGAAAAGGCGAATTGACTTTAACAGTCTGAGGTGGCAATGTTGAAATCAGAGTTCACCAATTTTCAGCATCTTGGGACTAGTAACAGAAACTTTCCTCTCAAATCAGGACCCAGCTATGACAAACTCTCAGGTCAGTTTGAATTCAAAAGGTTGTGTGATTACCTGAAATCACGAAGCTAGAAATTAACTCTGAAAGGCTGGATTTCTGTCTGAATCTGACATTGAAGGAAGTGGTTAGGAATGACTTCTGGAAAAAAATCTCATCAGTACCTTTTCTCTATCTGATCAGGTTTGCAAATAAGGATGTAGAGTTTATATAAACCTGTTCATTCTGGAAAATTCTCCACTAGTGTTGCTCTCTATTAGAAGCCAGAGAATAAACAATTTTTAGACTGCTCATGATTGCCTTCACTGATTCTGGGCCGAACTGAAAATGTGAAGTAAAACATATGAAATAAGGTTTTGCCCTACTAAAGTCAATAAGAAAGTAGACTTTAGTTTATTCCAAGTGGTTCATAAATGCACAAAAAGATGTCTCTAAAAAAACACAAAACAAAGAGAAGCAAGCAAAGAAAAAACTTAATGTCACCATTTCTCCATTTTATTTCACTGAACACTGGGAAAAGTGTGGGGTTTTTTTTTTAATTTTAGGAATTTAGGAAATAATTTGTACAAAAACCACTTTCTCATTTTAGATAGCATTCATAAGTTTAAATGAAAAACCCATTACACTCACTGAATGACACCCCACAAGGAAATGTATCAGGTAAGATAGTAATGTCAAAATTAAAACTGATGGGAATTTACAGTTATACAGTTTAGACCACTAAATATGAGAAAGAGACCTTTCTAAATCTTTTCTACATGCTCATAATCTTCCTGAAATGTTCATCAAACAGGTTACCAAATTTGGGGAGTGGAGTCACTGTATTCATGTCATTGATAAAGCCACTAGTTGTATAGAAATAGCAATAGTATAGTCTCTATTAGTATTACAGAACAATTAAAGTTTATTTCAGTAGGTTTATCATGGCCACCTACAAAGTGAAGCCATGAGTTTTTCAGTTTTAGACGTGGCTGACCACAGATTGACTTTTACATGGTCTACTTGTCATCACATATCACACTTAAGAAAAAAAAATAAAACCAGAAGTAGGTTTCTATCTCCTTTTCAAAACTTTGAAAACAAAAATATATTCATGCTATGTGTATGCTGACAGCTGAAACATCAACAGTCAAGAAACAGTAAACAAAGGAAAAGCAGAATATCTTCACTTAAGTTTGGCTAGCTAAAGAGCTGTGGAAATCTAAATGTACTGTCAAAATTAGGAGGGAGATCCTACTTCAAAAAGCAGGCAAACAAAGAGAAATCCCAAAATGACAAGGTCATAGGTGAAACTCAAGGTGCTTTTTACATGAAGGTTCAGAAATGCTCCACTGAAGTGTGCTGATCTGGCAGCTGACTTCATTGTTCATGTATATGAACCATCACCCTGGTGAAAGCTCTTATAATTGCATATGCTAATTCAGTTTCTTGGGCACCAAGTTTCAGACAGAACAGTGTCAAGCTGAAAAGAGCAACCTGCAACACTTTTTTCATTTGTGAAGGAGCATACCTGAAAAGGGTAAAGTCCTTTGTCTCTGTGTACACTGGAAATTATAATCAAGATATCATCAGTCTTTCTCACATCATAACAAGCCTAGAAGATGTATTTTAACAATGAAACTCACAATCATCTGTTGCTTGCTCTTTAGTAACCATTTTGTGATTGCATCTCCCATGGCCTACGTGTGAATCTCCAACCTAGGCCAACAAATTACTGTGATCACATGTGATTCCATCTCTCACATACCCTGTTCAGGACTTTCTTGTTACAGGAGTACTATCTGTGTATGCTGAAAATAAGTATGTGCAAGAGAACTTGTCTGACCTAACTTCCATTTAAATGTTTGGCATCCAGTTGGAGACAGTGTTCTACACTCTCTCACATGACAGTGGTAGATTTCCCCCAGGTCTCTTAGATCCTTTCCTGAAACAAATCACAAAACAAATCTCTATGTCCTGATTACAGAAGGAGCTTAATGAACTTAAAGTTGACACAAGAATCCAAAGTGTGTTAGATAAGTCCCACCTATGCATGGTTTAGCTTTCTTAC